AATGGACGTGGAAGTCCAGTCATTGTGGGCGCAGAATCAAGGAACGAACTGCCAAATTTCGTATTCTGAGGACGTAAAAACAACGACGGGAACTCCTACATGGCCTCTCCGCTACCAGAGTTCTCCGCAAATGGAATCATGGCTCGGAGCTAGAACCATTTGAGGTTTCCTATGAAAACCGCCCAGGAAGGTATAATATAGAATCAAGTGGCAATGGAAAGTATCTCATAGATTCTCACTGTCACCAACTCATTACATGTCATCCGCCGTGGCTTAGGGCTCAGAGTCAAAGGACAACTTCACTAGTTTCCATGTACCATAGACACAAAAACAAAGGGAAAAGATATACATTCACTTCTCTGTCTCCAAAGTCCTCTATAAGTGTCAATATCAGAGTTGGATTAGAGTACCATCATCCGTGCTACGGCTCGAATGTTCGCTGTATGACATCAATATTTGTTTTGGGAAAAGCCGTATGAAGAGTTTCGCCACCAAAACCCAACAGGTTGCCAAGTTTCGTGTTTATGAGTTTGAGAATTGGATTAGCAAAGACATGGATAATGTTGCTCGTCCAAGAAATCAAAAGCATTACCAAAAGACAATCCTAGGCTTCTTTCCGCTACTAGAACTAAGCAATAATGGCTATTATTATTATATTATTAAAATATTAAAAATATTTTCATTTTAAGGTTAAAACATAAAAACTTTATATAATATATACTACTTAATTTTACTATTTAAGTTAGTAAGTAAAATTAGGATTTTATTTTATAAAATATTACTTATTTATATACTTTAGAATTTAGCTTTTTATTTACTTTACCTTTAAAATATTTGTAAAAAAAGTTTTTAAATATTAACTAGTAAACTGTAACAGCTAGCTTACCTAAAGTATACTTAAGTTATATAATTATCTACCTATTTAGGCCCAGTGCCTTAGTACTAGTCTATATAAGTACTTTAGTTCTATATACCTTTATTAACTTTATTCTAGAGTAGTTAACTTTAGCTATCTTAACTATTAACTTAAATATTAATTCTAAGAATATGCTAGCTATAACACAAATAGTTTATATAATATTTATTTTAATTCAAATCAAAATTAGTAATTTTAAAGTATTTTTTATTTAATAATTTATAATTATATTAAGTATTTAGTATTTTTATATTAATTAAAGTACTAATAAAAAGTTAGTAAAATAAAAATGTAATTTAGTAAAACATAAGTTTAATTTACTAGTAAGTAGAATTAAATATAAATAGTAAGTTACTAGTTTTATTTATTATTATAAGTGTTTATAAAATTTATAACTAGTTATTTATTTTAAATAATAGTTTTTAAAAATTAAGTATATATATGTATTATACTATTAAATAGGCTAATTTTTATAATTTAATTACAATTACATGCTTAAAAGATTACTACCATAAATGGCTTTATAAGTCTACTATTTTAAAAATGGGTATTTTCTAAGAATTAGATGTTTTATAGTAGTAGTCTTCTAGCATCTATATATAGAATTACTTTGTATTCTAGAATAAGGGATATACGGCTTTCGCGAAGGGAGCTAAGGGATGCCTAGATACTAAGGTAGGATCTAGCTAGCTATCGATTCTCTATTAGGCCATGCCGCTCTTGTAGACCGCCTTTAGGCTATGGACGCCCGGAACAGGCAGAGGATAAAGATGCTACAGTGATGGGTAAACCGGCAGCTGCTCGGGATACATGCCTTGCTGTCCTTGTAGCTGTAGATGCTTACCTTTGGCAGCCTAGTGTTCCGGCTCGTGACACCTCAGCAGATGCCGAGCAAGCTGCTCCTGCTGCCGCTGCCGCCGTCGCCTTTACCTCATTAGTGGCAGTCAGATGCAGCCTTTAGTAGGTACACTTCCGCGCAGACTAGTATTGCGGCAATGCCATCTGGCCACTCGCCTAGCCCATATCCCCTACAGCAGTGCCCGTAACCGAGTGCAGGGAATCAATGTAGCAATCCATGATCCATTGAATGAGTGAAAGAGTCGATCTATATACACAATAAAGGTGGATAGTACGTAAAAGAGTACGCAATCTGCAGACGCCATGAGGGTCATGTGTGAGAGATAACAAGAGCACTACTCGGTGATAGTGCCCCGGGCCGACGCTTGAGCCACTACAGCTTCAGCCGCCGAGGCATCGAATGTGTCTTGCAGTTAGTCTAGTAAAGGATGTAAGACTGTACTATTACGTTATCTATTAGGAGAGATGCTCTCCCGACTTGGCATTCATCCTGCACATATAAGGCTCTACGGAGAGTGGCAATCCACACAGAACAATGCAATCCTCCTCAACTACACTCGTGCTCATATCCTCACAGAGAATCTGTGGCGCGAGTGGCCTGTAAGGCCATCCCTTTAATCGACGAATTAGATAGGAGATAGGGGAGCTAATAGAGGGCGGGGCCGTCAGAGCGAGCTGCAGTGGTATTCACTGCGGCTCGAGGCTATTAAGGAGATCAAGCGCGTAGCTTGGGCGCCAAGGATTAGTGAGGAGACTGCTATGTGGCAGGTAAGCTGCAAGCAGCAGCAGGTGGGGTGCTCGCTGGATCAGCTTTGCAAGCAGCTTCGGGCAACCAGAAAGGGGCGCGGTAGGCAGTAGATTTTCCGGCTCTGGACATGATATACTATGTAGAAATGTAGAAATAAGGCGCATTCGTTCCCCCAAATGAAAGCGCAACAGTGCTTCGGCATATAGGAGGGGTCCCTGAATGGCTCATACGCCCGTGCATACGAGTTCTAGAGATACCTCACTAATCCACATATAAAATACACGCTTTTCCCAAGCCATATGTATTATAAAGGTCATCAAGTTTCAATAAATTATATGGCCTCCCCAATTAGCAATTACAGCCTCGCAACGAGCCCTCATTGTGTGGGCCCCAGCATATTTGTAAATGTCGTCTAAAGTTAACCTCTTCTATTCTTCTAGGATAATCTTAATGAGCCCCTCTGTATTTGGAAACCTCCTCCGTACCCGGTGCTTTAAGAGCCTCTACAAATTCTCTACAGGGTTCAAATCTAGTGAATTAAATGGCCACTACATCAAGACCGTTCCCGATTCCGCATGAGCGTCTCTTGTAGCATATGTTGTATGTGGTGAAGCACCGTCCTCCATAAAGATTGGTTCACCCACAACCTGAGCTTCAAATTCGTTGATATTAGGAATAATATGTTGAATGTACGACTCAAAGGTGATATTACCCTAATTGTCTATATCACATATTACTAAAGGTCCTTTCTTCGAAGATATGCAAGCTTATACCATAACAGTTAAGAGCTTTACAAACTTTGGTACTAAACAATCTGGGTGATACTTCTCTTCAGCCTACCGTATAACATACACTTTCCCTCTTCTACAACGAAAGGAAGCCTCGTCACTCTTTGCAATTCGGTCCCATATTGCCTTACAAGATTCCTATGTATCTCTGCTTAAAATACACGGTGTTCTATATTATAAGGCTTAAGTTATATGTAGCGACTAGTTGAAAGTATCCGCCTTCAGCAAAGCTTTAGCGATAGTCGCCTCGTGGGCATTAATACCAAGCTCTATAGCAATCTTAAGTATGAGTTTAAGTTGTTGTCTACGGTTTTCTGTACCGTGACCAATTATTCGCTTCAAATAGGGGTAGTTAGCATAAGCTTTCGCCCTTTTAGCTTTGTGCCAGTGATTAGTTGTTTGAAGCATGATTGAACGGTGGGCTTTTTGATGCCGGTGTGTAGAGATGTCTGGCCATAAGACCAGCCAAGAGACCCTAATGGATGGATTCGGGCTCGCTCTGTGTGGGTAAGATAACGGAGAGATATTTTGGGCGACGGGGGTGGTATGGGTGCCATGATGTGTCATTCTTAGATTGGGGATTTGATACGTTTATATGTAAAAATAAAAATTTTCACGAAGGTTCCATGCTAACATGTGCACGGGTGTATGAGCTGCTCAGGGCCCTTTCTTGTAGTAGCGGCTTTGCAGAGCTCTTGGGGTGGCAAAAATCAGGATATTTGCTTATGTGGCTGTGTTGGTGGCCTTATAGGAGTAGGGACGGTGGACGTGAGTGGGTATGCCTCAAGCCGTCCCGTGGGAGAAAGGTTTCGTTAACTCCAATCTTGGCGGGACATGCATACCTAACAATTTCGCAGTACTTTGCTCCGTTGCTCCTATAAATATAGCAACTACCAATTGAACCACGTCTAGCGTGAAAATGTGGCGGTTTTGGTCAAGCGCTGGGGTTACCGCCCCAACAAGGCAGTGCAATCTGGGAGTATGCGCAATGTGTAGTATACTTCCAACATTTATTAACATTAAAAGGTCCCATCACCATTGTTCCATTCAATGTCCAATTAGTTTCTTGAATCGAAAGTGTATATCTCTGCATATTCTTCATCAGCTTCAGAAAAGGCGTTAAAACATCGTTCACACATCACATCACTTATCCTATGGCATCGCAGTTACAAGATGAGCTGAGTGAGGTTGACTACTACACCGGATTCTGGACAAACTATTCCCGAGGTCCTGTGTATGGCAAGGTCTTGACAGTACCGACCAGCGTTAGGCAGCTCCTTTCTGCTTTCTTCACTATATACATTACCTACGCGGGAAGCAGGTTATGGGGCAAGTTGGCGACACCAAAATATTTACTGTTATGAAGAGTGTGCTAACATGATTGCTACAGCTATCGTAACGTTCGCAGTTCACCAGTACTTAGCAAGGAGGATCCCGTCTGACGGCGTATATCACCAGCACCAAGCCATCTTGAGAAATACAGAATCGCCTCTAAATTCTCTCTGGTTGTTTCTTCGGCTAAGTTGGGCGTGGCGGCAGCATGCAAGACGGCCGTGGTTACGGAATGCGCCATTAGTGGTCTTAGCGGCTATTTATGCTATTGCCTGCTTCCTGGCCGGCATCTTCATCCCGGGCAGAGTAATTGTCGGAGACGAAGTACTTATCCAGAGCAGCACATGTGGGTGACCAATTCCAGACAATCAAGAGAACCAGTCATTGCGTGTTAAGTTTTCGGTTGACGTATAGGACTCCCTCCGCAAGATCAAACTCTGAGACAATAGGCTAATTATATCTATCAGCAACGAAAGGATTGGGTACGCGCAGTGGAGTACGTAAGAGTGTGCTACAGCCATCCTTCAGACTCGGTGGTATGTAACACGTTTGTGAAGCCGAAACTCGAGTCTGTTCTTGCACCTCGTGTACCATGCCCTTTTCCTGACGAACGAATCTGTAAGAATGGGACTGTTGGGACATTTAAATCCGAATCTGCTTTGATAGACTCGAGTAATGATCTCGGTCTTAATTCTCCTCTCAAAGATCGAGTCCAGTATCGCAGGACGCTCACCTGTTCGCCCATTGCTGATGGACGAGATACAAACTACACAACGTATGAGAATATGACTAGTGAATTTGGAGGTTCAGAAGAATATATATACTACCACTACTGGGCGAACTTCTCGGAAACGGAATTCAGAACAGAAAGGCGGGTCAAGTATAGTGGAGGCGTTGCGCGCTTTTATACAAAGTCAGTAGCTTCATCATGCTGATGAAGCCCGATGTGCTGATTTCCATATCCAGGCAAAGCACGAATTTCTATGGAACCAAGGCCGGAATGCCGTTCGTACCGGCACTCCTCCCAGACAACGCCGATGTGACGCTTTTCATGTTAGAAAAGAACGTGCATTTTACAGGGCTGTCAGATGATCTACTGTTTGGTACAACGCATTGTAATGATGCTGGCACAAGCTTTTCTGGCACTCATGCCGCGATAGTAGGATGCGTCGGACAGCACCAATTCTGCAATCCGATTACCGGCAAATGCACTCCTTTCCGTGGGCAAATGAGTTACTTTGCGGAAAACTCCACCGAATGGCGCGACAAGAGAGATATACTGAGGCGCGAGATTCAGCTAAACGACAATCAGTACCGCACCGTGCAAGTCATCTCACTTGCTGCAATGCTCTCATCGACAATGGGGCTTATGTCAAATACAGATGGCTCCTTACTACAGGCCAACGATTATATCACTACATCAACTAGGCGATCCCTACCCCTACCGCAGAACCAGACCGCTATCGAAATTAAACTCCTTCATCAACTCTCCCTGGCGAATATGCAACAGAAACTGATAAGCCGTCTACAGCCTGCTGGGATTGAAGGTGAACTAATTGGAGGGGAAGATGACATTGGCAAGCCCCTATTCTGTGATCGGCAGAAACGGCGGAACTCGGATTACACTTCTTTTAGCACGCTGGGAATGACCCTGATTCTCGCTATTGGTGGCGTTGTTATTGTGCTGGCTTGGTTTAGAGAAACGATTGGGTTTTTTATTTTAAGATCTAGTCGTCGTGAGTACGCGCAACAGGAGTGGCATGCATTGGATTTGTTGCAGATACAGCGTAAGTCATAACTTTTCTTAACTCGCCCCCAGCATAAGGCTTCAAAAATTAAAAATAGGAAAGAATATACTAACTTGAGCGAATTCAAGGGAGGGTATACGAAGGCGAGGGAATTGCGTCTTGGCTTGGACGGCCTGGTCAAATCCCTGTCACCAAGTACGGGCAGATGTTTGCAACGTTCCCGAATCGTTCATATTTCCGCCCAGATTCGGAAGCGTACCTCGCCCGCAGCTGTGTCCGCAAAGGGAGTAGTGAAGAGGAGAGCGAATTGAACGTTTATATGGATTGAGGCTGGCGAAGGAGCACGCTACTGCTTTCTTACTGGGCTCTTGAACCGATTGCTCAAAGTTTATTCAAGGTAAAGTTCTCTCAGATTTATCTGCCATCTGCTACGTACTGTGAGCACCCGCGGGCATACCTGGATAGGACAAAATGTCTGCTTTTGGTGCCTGAAACCCCATTATTCGCCCATGTCTGGCTTGTATTCCACATCATAACTCCCGCAAAAGTGACTGCGGCTTCGTTTTCCACTTTCATTATCTTGCTGTAGAAGCGAAGCGTAATCCAAACATGTGTGGGCGGTCGGATGATTCAGTCCAAGTGTATTCTGATAGCTATTGACCAGAGCACGCCAAGACCCCTCGTCACCATCCTCGCCACAGTCCCATTTAGATTAGTACATCTCAGCGTATATTGGCGGGCGCGGATAAGACCTGCTCGCTGCGCCAAGTCTGCGTTTCAAAGTTAGAGGATAATTAGCGGTATTTCCAGTGCACTTGGTCATTCGTATCACAGACGCGCGCAACCCGCTTTGCTTGACGGTCTCAAGTAGCTGTGCTACCTTGCGCTTGCATCAACCTGGCCTAGGCCGTACAGTAAGCTCTCGGAACTGGATACTAAACTTGTGGCCGGCCCAAGAAAAATCATTAATGCCAGGGCCGGTATTCAATTTACCATGAAACATTAAATATATCTCCAAAAACAAAGCCAGGACTTTGTTCAGACGACTCACCTCTGATAGAAATATATGCGCGTGTGAAGAATCATTGAATGATAAGGAGTTTCGAGAACTAGTTGTTCGTGCCAAGGATCGCCCGTTCTAAATTTAGGGGCACGCTAACCTATTAGTGTTCACGATCCCCACTTAGCTTCAACCTCAACTCTCTCCTCCATCCAGATAATTTCCGGCATGCCACACATTCCATCTTGCGAGATCTCTCGTGCCTATCGAAGCGAAAAGGCCGAATACACGGTCATTCCTAACGACCAAACCGATGAGAATGTTCAGAATCTGCTGAAAGAGAGCGGTTTCAGGAAGTCGGGGTTCTTTTGGCGTACGAGGTTGACGAAAGAGCAGGTTGAAGACCTGAAGCCGAGACTTACTGGAAATGTGAGTAATGAGGTATCAAGGTCATTCAAGGGTGAGGTCTGATGATTTCAGTGTGCTTCCTTCTCTGCATCATGTAGATGTTATGATCCCACCATGAGTGCAAAGCAGAATCAGGCCTGGAATACTGTGAAGACCTGGAATGAAGAGGCGGCTGGATGGCCTCCTGGTGCTCCCGTTGGATATACTACTTGAGATTGTCGGATGGGAGCTTCCATGCAAGACATCACCTACATATCTCTGAATTGAAAGTTGTCAAAGTCTTCAGGCATGCTCTCTTTTACTGAAATTGTACAATACGACACACATCCAGACCCGGCTGAACATACGGGGGACTTTCGCCCTGTGCCTACCATACGTTTCTAGCTGAAACCATGACCCTTTTGTCTAACTACCTAACTCTAGCCCTACAAAAGCTCCTGTGGCCATGGTTATGGACGCCAGACCGACAGTGTAGGGTGTTGGAGTTGACGTAGTTTGAGGTGTCCCGCTGGAGGTGGAATGGATTGGTATGCCTTGCGGTAGCTCAGCACACTCCTTACTTGCTCTTCGGAATCTGCTTTTAGATACTGACCCGCGTGAATTAGCGCTGATAACTCGGCATCTTGAGACTTGTGAAAACACTTCTTCTAATTTTTAATTTCGTCTCTTTAACGAAAAGTTATCCGCATATTCTCCGGTAGTATTCTAACATCCTTCCCAGCTTCTACTCACATCACAACATGTCGTCGTCCTCCAGTCCTTTAAATTCCCAAAGCTCACATGGAGTATGTTTACTTTTTGAGGCATTTCCACTGCGGAAAGCCTCTTGAAATCGAGTGAGTAAGAGCAAGAGATGAGAGACCGGGCATCTTTCCATCCATATCCGCGACATGCGATAGGGAGGTAAGGCTCCTGTGGGGTCTAATTCCTAGCACAGCCCTCTACCCGGATATATAAGCCCCTCCTCACTTCATTAAATTTCTTTTCTACTTCTTCCTTCTGCTTCCTGGCTGCGAACCTCGATTGAATTGGATCTTTATCCCTAAGTTCAAAAATCCTCCTTGGAAGTGGTGTATGCGGCGACCACCCTTACTAAAATTTGGAAGATACACAAAACTGACTGCTGGGATTACCTATCGAAATAGCCCGCCATGACCTGCAATGCGGCGAGAGATGCTTTGAAGATTTTGGTCTGGTGCCATGCGTCACGATGGCGAAGGGAATGACCTAGCCAAGGAAAGTGCTGATGGCTTGGATATGCTGGTGGTACACATCAACACTCGCATAATATGAATCCCCTTTCCTCAGAACCTGCCACTGCGTAAGATCTACATCTATCTCCTCCACATGACAAAATATTCACCAGTTTTTGAACCCATTCCAAAATCCACCCAAAATCCACCGTTCAAGGCTTACAGAGTATTGGTGATGACAGCAGAACACATTTCTGGATCTCTTTATCTTTTAAAAGCTTCTGCAGCCCGGGAATCTAGTTGACTAAAACAAGAAAATTGCCAGAGTTTATCGATCTAGGCGATTATATACCCGTCTGCCTCTCCTAAACCCATCTAGGTAGTGTAGGATGTATGCTTACGGATCACGTGCCACAATCCCAGAGCCGTAATTTCTCGAACCCGAAGGATATATAAATCCAGCCCCTCTCTCTAAACTCTGCTTTTTCTTCTCTACAGCAGGAGTCTCCTGCCCTAGCTGACTAAAACCGGAACAGTCAGGTATATAGAGTTGTGCGCTGACTGGGACTAATACGGGCCACGTAAACGGGTCATGTTCGGAGCCGAAAACTTTAGCGCACAATATAATATGCCTGGAATCAGAGCCAATATCTCCACGAAATATTCTGGTAATCAACAGTCCAGCGCAGCTACAATGTCTTCAATTAAAACTCCTGGAGGATATGGACATTGCTCGGAATAAAATACCAATCAGATGAACAATGTTTGACATAAAATATTGGACTTCCAAACTTCCTAAGCCTAGGATAAAACACCGACGTCATGCGGAGATGACTGGCATCAAAATTCGGAAATTTCGGTTCCACGCCTAGAATCTATCCCTACAAAAAGGGAGCATAGAATTGATAACATACGCGAGATTCGGGATTCAAACCCCCAACCCCCTCAATGTATATCAAACTCGTACCTTCCAGCGCTAGAACGGCAAAATTTCAAAATTGCAAGCGAACTGTCCCTAGGGTCAAAATCACAAGCGATTCGCTTCATGCCCGTCTCTCATCCTAAATATGGTCGATCTCAAAAGTATTGTGGGGTTGGATGTCGACATAAACCGACAAGCATCCCCCTTATGAGCTTCGCTGGCTTTCCGAAGGCAAATATAAACAGCCATGGCACATCGTTCAATGGATCTGGCAGAATCTGTCTAAAATATCACATTCGTTGTATACATGGGAAGACTTCCGAACCTGATTCGCAGTCCAGATATATGTGAGGAAGTGTATTTAGGGGAGAAAAAAAAAGTATGAAAGAGCCTTCATATTGTTGGTGATTCGCACCATTCCACCAAGACCACGGATGACTCTACACCTCACCAGTGGTCCCATTTTACCTCATATACTCCTCAAATCACATCACCTCCATCACTCTTGCTCTGGCGTTCCGCAGCCCCCAATGACGACTACAAAAAGCATTATAGATCTAGATCTAAGTATCTGAACACGACTCTGAATTCTGATAGAAATGTAGAGTGGAACGTGATTTGAGCTGCGAGTTGTACTCCTAAAGGTTCCGCCGGAGCTAGAAGGCTTGAAATATGAAAGCTTACCTGCCAGGAATCACATGTTAACTTGAATTCCCAGAACCCGGAGAGTCTGGAAGATATATGAGCCCACTTACCCTCCCTGTCAAACACCTTCTCCTTCACACTACAAATCCGCGATATTTTTATTAAAAATTTGTGGAGAAGACTTCATGTAGTTTTGCTCTTTCTGGAGTCAAACTCTTGGGGGAAATGGGCTATGGCTGTACAAAAGCATCGAGGAGCTATGCCATGTTCTGGATTCGGGGGTTTTTAAAACTATATTTCCGAGGACTCATATGCTTCGCCGGTGTGCATTACTGATCGAAAATTCGACTCCCTTCCGGCCGTGCCTCGAAGTCTCTCAAAAAGCGGCTAATAGCTTCACATATTCTGGGCTTCTGACTCTAGAATCGCCCAATATGCTTCGACATGTGTCCTGCTGGACTTGAAATAATGTGAATGTTCAAAATCTACCATGAGTGATTATATGAAGTTCTGCGCTCTCTGGATCAAAGGCCGGGCTGATATCACGCCATGACTGGGTGCTTTACAAACCCCTAAACCAGGTATCATTCATTCTGTGGGCTCGGGAACCTAAAACCTGGGACTCTCAACAGCTATGCGCTTCTTAGGAACAGCGCGAAATAGTACGAAAGCTACAACCGCACACAACTATGGAGTTCTCCACTCTTCAGGATTAAAAGTCAAGCTCCTCAAAACCCACATCCACGTATTTCTCACAGAAAACAACCGACTATGAGTTTATAATGTTCTGGGCTTGAACCCCTAAAAAGAAGCTGGGTACATCATACATGCGCTTTGCTGGACCTGAAGAGGATGAGATGTTTAAAATCGATAACCAAAGGATCACATGGAGTTTGTTCTCTTCGGGTATCCGAATCAAACCTTGAGTGCTCCATATCTGGGATATTTCTCCACAAAAAGCTTGGATAAGTTCGATATTCTAAGCCTTGAGCTCTAAAAAACCCGAGCAAGGATAATAATGCTTCTGTGAAGTTGAAAAGAGCAAAAAATTTCTTTAAAAATTAGAGCGTTACAGCATAGAATTGTTACCTTTCTGAATCGAAACTTCTGATTGATGATTTGATGTCTGAGGTTCTCTCCAAAAGCTTCGAGTGTGTCGAATCATGTTCCGGACTTCGAGTCTAAAATACGCCGTCGCGAGTGATTATGTGCTTCGCGGACTTGGAGAGATTGGGATATTCCAAAAATTTGCCGGAGAAAAGGCCACGGAACACCTGTGGATCTTCCTAAAAGTCCATAGGGGTTTGACCTATGCTGGCTTTGGACCTCTAAATCAACTTAGTATCAACGTACATGCGCTTCTCTGGTCTCGTCTGTTGCGAAACTGCTTCAAAATTTGCAAGCGGAAATTTCATGGACTGGGGTGCACCACTCCAAAACCCCAAGTGTGCGCAGATAATGGTGAGGATATGGGGAGAGACTAAAATGGAATTTGACCCTCGGGAAATTTTTTTTTTTTTTTCAACTCA